TTGTAGGACACTCTTGTGGGTCACTCTAACAGGACACTGTTGCGGGACACTCTTGTGGGACACTCTTGTGGGACACTCATACGGGACACTCTTGTGGGTGGGACACTCTAGCTGGGACACTCTTGTGGGACACCTTGTGAGACACTCTTTTGGGACACCCTTGTGGGACACTCTTGTGGGACACTCTTGTAGGACACTCTTTTGTAGGACACTCTTTTGGGTCACTCTCGTAGGAAGCTCTTGTGGGGCACTCTTTTGGGACACTCTTGATACCACCAATCGTCCCGCTCACAGCGACACGCCGCGTTTACACCAGCATGCTTCGCGCTCCCCAGTGGCACGGTGCCACGCAAACACACTTCCCACCAAGGCCGCGCAAATCCCAGTGGCACTGCGAAATCACGAACGTAATTTCGCCACACGGTCTGCCCACACACTGGAAGCAAACATATCACATGATACCACCAATCATCCCGCTCACCAGCGACACGCAGCGTTTACACCAGCATGTTTCGCGCTCCCCAGTGGCACGGCGCCACGCAAACGCACTTTCCACTTAGGCCGCGCAAATCCCAATGGCACGGCGACATCACGAACGTCACACGATCTGCCCACGCACTACAGCGTTTCGTACGAGACTTCCTCCAAAAGTCATGTACAGTCTCCAAAACGAGCGTTTCGTACGAGACTTCCTCCAACAGTCACACGTCAAGTCTCCAAAACAAGCGTTTCGTACGAGACTTCCTCAAAAACTCACATGTCAAAGTCTGCAAGACGAGCGTTTCGTGCGAGACTTCCTCCAAAAGTCAAGCGGAAACACCCATTGGAGCACACACATCACGCGGCTCTGCCAAGCAGTTTCGCGATTCCAGCCCCTCCAAACAACACCCGCTCACACGCCAATCCCAATGTCACAGCGACATTCACCTCTACCACAACTCACAACCTCACGATTCCCTGCGCCTGCCACGAACCTTTCCGCGCCCCCATGTCTAACGCGCACAAAGCACTGCGCCTGCCATGAAGTGTCACCTTCGTCACACCTTGCCTTGCAACCTCACGATTCCCTGCGCCTGCCACGGAATTCGCACTTCCACACCTCAAAACCCGCACAAAGTACTGCGCCTGCCACGAAAAGTGATAACTTCATGTCATGCGAGCTTCAAAAAATTTGCACCACACCACACGTTTGGAATGATTTCGACCCGTCCTGCGCACACTCCCATCCACCAAAATCGCCATTTCAGCTGAGACTTGTCACGAAAACCGAGCTTCGACGCAACACCCTGAAACGCAAACCCCAATGGCACGGCCACATCCAACACCCAAAACCACAACTCTCCAAACGCAAATCCCAATGGAGCTGCGCAGCAAGCTGCGGATCTCACAAAACGCTGTGCCTGCGCAGTGAAATCATCCTCCACACTTCAACATCTTACATTTCCACACGTTTCCATGCTATTTCACACGAATCTGACACGTCACGTTTTCATCCGAAACCCGCTCCAAAAGCTTCCCCCAATGGCAGCGCCTTAGCGCTCTACTGCGGACGGTTGCGAACATAGAAACAACGGGTCGCGAACAAGGCTCTACCCCCAGACCCCCAGAGTCAAACGAGAACCCTTCGCGACGCATTCGGGAACGAGAACAGAATGCAGCAATGAGTAGTGCAGCAGTAAGTAAAAAACCTTCTCGTCTAAAAGGAAAAGTGGTGGGCCTTGCCAGCAAGTAGACCTGACGTGTAGCCTTCACTGTTGATTCTTCGATCACTTTGAAACCCTGCTGACAATGTACTTGTAGCATCTGAATGCATTCATTCGATTTGTCCAAATCTGTGAATTCTTCAAATGCGAGGGAACGTTGCTATGATTGTTATGTGAAGAGGTGCTTACTCAGTCCTCAGTGCTCGACGTAGTTCGCCAAATGTACTCCACCTAGTTTGAGTCGCTGCCAGTGCTGCACCTTAGGCACCATGTCTTGGACAGCAAGCGGCTATGCCGGCTATGCAGCTGGTGTGGCACCTCCTCTCATATCGCTGGTGTGGCACCTGGCCAGTCCGTTTGTGTTTACGCCCCAGATCGCACAACCGATTTCAGAAGTTCTCTCAGCTTCAACAGCAGAGACAAGGAACTTGGCTGTCTCAAGACAAGGCGACCCCACGGCCAGTGGGTCACCATGGGTCACCCAAAAACCACGTCGGTTGCATGTTGAAGGCATTTTCGGACCAGAATGGCGGTTCTCCCAGGTTTGAGACACACCCAAGTATGCAAAATGAGCAGCTTGGAGTCTTAATGAAAAGTATCCTTTTGGATTCCTTTTCTCCCGCTGGCGCGTGGTTCACCTGCGTGGAGGCATCCACTTGCAGCATCCGGTCTAGCATCTTGCTTCTCGGATGTGAGATGGACAACAAGTTTATGTTTCATCATCGGCATCATGTCAGTGTGAGACGCCAATGTGAGATCACGAAGTGATACACACATGAGACTCCAGAACCACTTTGGGCTCACAAAGGCACTTTATTCTTTTGCTGTTGCAGTCCCTCAGCAGCTGCCGATATGTCGATGTCAAAGGAAGCATCAGCTGCAAGCTGCCGGGTCAACCACTCAGCTCCAGATGGCACCCCGAAGGCTTCAGCGGTGAAGTCACCTCGTTCGTTGGTCAAAAGAAGGAGGTCAAATCTGCCGACAGATTAGGAGATATTCGGAGTACGTCAGCATGCAGGGGTCATATTACGGGGGGTTTTGTCCACCATTGGGTTTCAAGTAGCCAAAGAGATCTGATAGCTTTGGGGATTTTTCGATAGAAAAGGCTTGTAGATTCACCAGCTCTCACCTGATGCTTGAAGTGAGAGAACCACAGGACCATTTGCATCGGTCACAAGAGTGATGATATACTCACCCTCTGGAAGTGCGGTATTGAGGCCCATGTCTCTGGACATTCGCCATCGACAGGCTGCGGCCTCGCCTTGCAAATCCTCTGCCTGGGCCAATCGATAGCACGCATCGGTTTTGAGCAACACCCGAATCTGCAGACCTGCATAGGAGCCGCCCGATCGCCCCCGATGATCCGGCTGAGATGCCATGAATGCGAAGCGGTTCGAAGGAGTCTTGTTCTTGAGGCTCAGAGCAAAGTTTGCTTGTCCGTTGCTTTGTCCCAGAAAACGAAGGTCCGTCTGAGGGCTTTGAATCATGGTGACGCTTCCCCCCCTTGAAGTACTTAGAGACATCCAATAGCGACATCCAAAACATTCCATCCGAAGAGCTCGGCATGGAGCGGTTCCCAAGCATGTCGAGGATTTCCGCCCCTTCTTGCTCATCGATGTCTTTCCACTCCTTGCTTCCATCACTCCACCTTCCCGTCCACTCAGTGCCGGAACCCCACGGATTGCGGATCTGGCAAATGGTTTCTCCACAGGCTACAGCCACCCCATAGAGAGTGTAGCAATGACCTGGCAAAAGTCCAATCTTCTTATATGCCTTCTCTAAGCCGGTCAAATCATTGTTCTTTCGGTCAAAGGAGGACGCATCGGTGCCAGGGGTTTGCACGTTCATGGCAAAGTCCGAGTGGTTCCACTGAGTCAAGGCCTTGCCCAGATCATCTCTGCTCCAAAACTCGGTCTTCACAAAGCCATCCAGCAAGACCTCTTGCGGATCCTCCGGGTTGAAGGCGAAGATCTGGGAGGGCGAGCCGGTGAGGTCCGTCAAGGCATTGGCGGTCTTCCCCACCTGGAGGCCGATTGAAATGAAACAGAAAAACAAATCAAGTGGGTTGCGCGAGTCCATTCTAAAGGGATATATGTGCAACAATGTTATCATCACAGACGGTTCAATCCTCAAAGCCCAAGGTTTCCTTCGAATCCATGAAGTTGGGGGGAAATCGGGGGGGATCTGCGGGTTCGGATTCTCACATACAACTCCTAGCAAACAAAGAGTTGGATTTTAGACCTTGACTCACCTGGATCACCCTGTATCCTCCATGGAGTTTGGCCCAAGCTTTCTCCAAGATTGCCACCCACAGCTCCGCCGAATTCTTCCGATTCCGCGCGAAGAGGGGTGACACCCCGCGCATCACCAGGAAGTCATCGACGATGGTGCGGGTCCAAAGGCCATCTTTGGTGTGATTCACCACGTAGCCTCCCACCTACAAACGACCAAGTATTCCTACGATTCGAGGGGTGGAGGGGTGTGGAGGGATGTCTCTTTAGTGGAGGTCTTGGCTCCCAGTTTTTGGGTCAAAAGGATGCGACATGTTGGAAGGGTCAAGAACAACTCGCAGGTGCCCTTCTAGTGAGGAGGGGAACTCCCAGCTCATTCACATCTGCGGAAACTCCTTGGGTTGAAAAAAGAGCCATGAACACAAAGCAATGGCCTCCAACCTAATATATAGCAACGGCCTCCACCCTAGTACCAATGGCCTCCAACCTACTAGCGATGGCCTCCACCCTATAGCGATGGCCTCCAAACATTACATTTCATATCTCTTGACGGGCGCTTGGATGGATCACCGTCCCCCCAGGGTGCCGAGCACCTGCCTCATTGCCATAGTATGGATTGCCATCCACACCAAAGATGGAGTACACTCGCTGTGGCCACTCAGCCAAGGCTGCAATTGCTGCAATCAGCCAACAATCACCCAGGAATCCCTGTCCCACGTCACCAGGAGAGACCTTCTCACCCGATTCATCTGAGACGAACAAGCTTTTCTTTTGCCCATCTTTCAAGAACTGCTCCGGACAAAGGAAGGGTCCAGGGCATGCCTCTCCATTGCCCATGACAACCTCACGGTTGAAGTTCACGTCAACAAAGCGCGTCCCTGTTTCAACGCAAGCTTGCAGTATCGCCATATCATTTGCTGCGTCAAGTCCGCGCTCGGAGATGAGGGCCTTCACCTTTTCCGCACTTTCATCATAGAGTTTTGCAAGATCTCCGAAGGCTTCATTGTAATCTGCCGCAGTAAGTGGCTCGGCCGCAGGAACAAAGCCTGGAACCTGGCCCTCTCCATCGAAAGCAAGTACCATCTCACCTGGAAGTACTGTGAAGGCGATATTCTCTCCATCCACTTTGCATCGAAAGCTAGGTTTTGCCGCATCCTCGGGCTTTGCGAGCGCTTCTTCCTTTGCACCTTGAAAAGTGACAATGAGCTTTTCATTCTTCATGTCATTGTAGAGGCCGATGCATACCTTACGGTCATCACTGACCCAGTATCACAAGACACCATCAGAGCTTCCATCTCTGTTTTGGAAAAGCGCGACATCTTTCATTTTGGCCTTGTTGTCAATGCGCCACGCCGGCGCATGGGATTCCGCATCCACCTTCCCCATGACGATGACTAGGCTGACTGGTCGGAAAAAGCAAACGTTGAGCTGCACGAGGGCTACAGTCGTAAGAACGCGTGCACACTGAAGAGGGCATCCTCCTATGAAAGTTCATTTGAAGGTGTCTCACCACGTCTCACCATGTCTGCTTCAATCAGTTCGACCGGGCGCCTGACACTCCGCTTCGCTTCGCTTGAAAAGGTCAATGGCTTGCCTGGCAAACTCCAAAAAACCGTCAGACAGAACCATCTCTCTGTCACCAGTTGCTGGGTTCCGCAACAAGGACCAGACCATCAGAAACCAGGTTCTGGGTGTGGACGATCCACGACAGTCGGGACAAACAAACATGCGGTTCATACTGCTTAGTTGGGATAGGTTTGGTACTGCTCCGCTTACCGTCCATGAGTGAAAATGGCCCAGTCAACCAGGAAAAGCCTGCAAAACCCGATCAAGGACCCATCCTGAAAACATCAAGACACCCTCTTTCTTCAACCTGGGTGCACTAGTGCATCCGAACCGGTCGGCGATCAAACAGGCATGTAACATCCGCTGCTGCTTCCCGCGCACACATGGAACGCAAGCCATTCGCGCAAGCATGCTGGGAAGCGTACCACGAGGAAGGTACCATGAAGCATCATGACTGCATCTGCTGTATGACAAAGGCAAAGAACAATGACTTCTCAAACCCAAAAAGAACAAAATCAATCAGAGACTAATGCGATAATCCATTGTAGCCCAGACAAAGACTGCTTTGTTGTTCGTTTGGGTTGTGCCAGACAAAGGCATGGCTTGGTTACGTTGTTTCTTGTTTTGTTCTTTGGCTCACTGTCATCTGTACCCCCCCAACAAATTAACAAAAAGTGAAACAAGCAAACAAAATAACTAACTAGCTAACTGACTAACTAACTAAACAAGCTAACTAACTAACCTATGATCAAGTGAAGCCCAAAAGAAGGCTTGGCTTGTCTTTTTGGTTTTGCCCACTGCCATCAGTATGAAGAGAAGCGTGTCTCTTCTAGCTGCTACCTTCCTGTAGCGTTCGCTTCGTTCGCAGGTTGGATCAGCGACTTCTTTGGATACCAAATCCATGTATTGATACAAATAGTATGCCTTTACAGTAGGCTTTTGACACATTAGCATCTTCTAATACTCTTGTCGGGCTTCCTGTTTTGTACCATCATTTGCCTTAAAGAACGTACAAGTAGCTCGAACAACTCTCTCACATACCGCATTTTTTAAAAAGACTATAAACAAATATACTTCTGCAAAGAGTGAAGGCTTTACTAAAAGAACGCATTTGCACAAAGAAGTTTGCCTGCAACCAGAAAGCAGCCGTTTATATGGAGGAGCAAACTCTGAAGAACGTGTGCCAAACAGGCTCGTATTCGGGCTTATGGCAAAGCGAGTATGTCTTTTATAATGCACTACCACGGTTTTGTGCTCAGAAGGACATTGCATTTACAAGGATCCTATGCCAATCTCTTTAAATGTGTTGCATTGCAAGGCTTGATGTTGTTATGTGTTGCTGTTGTTTTGTGGATTTGCTTTTGAGCAAGCAGCAGGCAATCGTTTTCATGTTACTTGCGCCTTTGCTGCATTGTTAATGTTATTCGGATGCGGTTTCTACATAACATTGCCAAGCATCATATCAGGTACAACTCTACTATGATGACAAGGGCTCATACTGGAATGAGGTGCCTCATCATATCTTTGAGTGCTGGAAATTTGCAACGCTTTGTGCCTGAAACATAGGTACGAGGGGCGGGGGTAGCATATGTATATGTTTTCAATGGCTGACAGACTCAACAACCTTCAAGAACCTATCCATCAAAGCAACATAGATTCTGGCAATCTTCCAGCCATATCAGAATCATAATGGTTCTGGCATATACTGGCATCTTCATCATGCCAAATCTAAAAAAAAACAAACAGGGCTTAGGAAACAGGGCTTAGGTCGCCTAGCTTCCGAGCAACACGCACTCATCCCGCTCAGCTCTAGTTATATTATATATATAACATATTATACATTATTATATGTATACAATTATATATACAATTGTATACATCATTATACATCCGTGTTCTCTCAGTTGCTACCTTCTTGAGAACCCTTCAGCAGACTCGCACATTGTGCATACATTCTGAAGAATGAACAAACAAAATGTTTTGCACCATAGCTCATCGTTTCTCTGTGCAGCACTGCAGCACACCTCACCTGCAGCACTGCAGCACTCCAGCTTCTCAGCTTCAGCAGTCTCTGAAATCAAAGTTGGTCTCGCCGAAGCAAAGAGCCTCCACATGTCCGTCGAAATGGCTTGGACACTTTGCTTCGGCTAGATAGAACGGCTAGAATACCACAAACCACCAATGAACAATTCAAATGTTCAGCAGCGGAAGCGAACGGCCCGAACGGGCTCGCTGTCTTCAAGACCTCCAAACACCAACACTGCTGCTCAAGCCTGTCCACGACACTGCACCAAGCCTTTGTCCGCACTTGTCACAGCCGAAGAATCCATGTTTCCCACAGCGGAGAGTTCGCTCCTCGACTGTGAGAGATTCTGATCCGTTCCATCGTCCGTTCGTTCACAAGTGTCAAACTGCTCAAGAAGGTTTGCCAAAGCGAACACAGTAAAGTATGAACAAGTCAAATCCAAGCGTCCTGCAGCTTTTGCTAAGTGGGCATCGGCTAATTCCTTCCATGGAAACCAACGACCCCTCTTGCACTTCAAGCCTGAGCTTTGTTAGACCTTGCTTTTGTGGTGCATTTGCAAGAAAAACTGGGTGCAACCTTGCAACATAAAAGTATAATACTTGTGCAAGAAGAGAATTGGCTGGAACTTTGTGAATTGTTTGATGAGACTTTTTGCTGGATCACTTACATATATATAGTTGGGCTGGGACGTGTTCACACCTAAAAAAAATGACCGCGGCTCCTGATGTTCTTGGAGATGGTCCGCGACGAAAGACCTGAATACTGATATATAGTATTATAAAGTACCAGTCTCCTCAAGATTCTCTACTATCTCTACTGGATTTGCAGAACTTCATATTGCAGTAATCTTCCCAAGCTCCCCACCGTTTCGCTCTTGGGCATCGGCTCATGCTGATGCCACGCTTTGAGCATCTGAGCATCCGGAAATTGGATTCAACCTCCCTCGTGCATCACTAACAGCACGTGCAAACAAAGCAACAAGTGGTTCATGTGTCGTATACGCGCCTTGTTGGAAAGAGTGAAAAAGCCGCAGGCATTTGAGCAAACAACATGCACACAGCCAGCGTTTCTAATAAACTTCTTGGGCACGTGCGCAGCCAACTGAGTGCAACTCACATGTCATTCCACTAACGATTTACACTTGGAAAAGCTCTTCGCCACAAAAGCAAGTATCAGCATTACCTAGGACCATAGGCACAGGAACCATCAAACACAACGCTCGGTTGATGGTGCAATCCTTTTCCAACTTTATGTCCCACTCGAGCTGCCAATCAGCAGCTCCAGTTCGAGCGCAGTCGGTTTGGCCCTTCGGTTTGGCGCTTCTCTGGGGACGTCGACTCTGCTGGGTCCCGTCGTCACCGAAATGGCCCTTGAAATCGGATGGAAGCTCTCATCGCTTTTGTGGCGAAATCGGGCGATGTCTGATGTCGATCTCTTTTTGCCCTCAAATGCGAACCTCCTTTGGAAGCTCAATGCCACTTGTTTCGAGAAGGTCCTTCAGAGACCATGCGTCTTCGGGGGGGTATTGGAGCTGGCTCATGCAATGGATCTTCGAGCTCTCCATCTTTGGCAATGGCACGGTTCCACTCTGTCTGAATTGCATGAGCAACAGATCCCAAAGGTGTCTCTGGATCCGCAATCTCCCATTCATACCTCGCAAAGAGAGTGAAGAGTGGCTGGGTTTCTGATTGTTGACGTCTCACTCTCCTTCGGCACTCTCTTTGTCACCTGACCTGTTGTCACCGGTGTTTTTCATCCATCAACCACTCCTGTACCCATCAACTAATTCTGCTCAAGGAACTGTTGACATCTTCCAAACACCCGTTCACAACGCGGGGAAACAAAGCTTGCCGAACACCCCGCTTGCAGAATTTGGTGGGTTCTTCCAGGTATCACACACCCTCAAGGAGAAATATATGGACAAACACGATGCACAAGCACTATGGAGAAACACACTCAACATGGAATTGAACAAATAACACAAATTTTCCCACCAAACGTCTTAAATGTCTTCTTCGACCCCTCCTGACCTGGATCTCACTTTCAACAGCGCGGAGAAGATCTGCCGTGCCACCCGTGCTCCGGACACCTCTGGACGCGAGGAGGCTTCCACCCCGAGCCCCGAGGCGGCCAAGGCTTCTTGGCTCTTTGCAGCTAGCAGGGCCCACACGGATTCCGGAACGGCTTCCAGGTCCGACTCTGCTAAGAGAACACACCACTCCGCCAGCTCCGGACCACTGGTGCTGTGGACCTTGCGATGAAAGATGGCCTCAGACTTGAACTTCAAAGGCAATGACTTGAGGACCGCCGAAAACAGCAACTTGGCAGGTCCGGACCTACTCTCCGTGGTCTCCTCGGAAGCTAGTAACGCTTCGACCTTGAGGCAACCCTCCAGAAGCCGGTATGTGTCTAGCAAAGGAAGTCGATAGAGCTCCGGACGAACAGTGTCGCACAACAGCTGGCCTGTATCAGAGATGGCTGGCATCACAGGCTCTCCATACAATTGCAGAATGCGTGGAAGAGCAAGTGCCAAAGATGCGGAAATAGCTGTGAGCCTTGCTGGTTGCGTACAAATTGATCTCAATATCAAAACCACAACCTCCGGCTCAATTGTGCTAACTTCAGTCGCAGGTGTCACGCTCTGCATTGCAACTTCCAGCCAGGGCAAAAGTTGCTCTGGCTGCCACAAAGCCACTTTCGTACTGCTTCCAACTGCTGCCTTCAGCAGCTGTGCTGCCAGCGTCCTGCGCTGCTCCGACATCGCCAGTAGTTGGGCAGCACCGAGGAGCAACTCCCCCCCGCACTGAAACCGGAGGTCCTTGGAGCGTTGGAACGACACAAAGCGGACATAAAGGTCCTTGCGCGTTTGGTGCAGACTTGATGTCCAATCCTTGGAGCGTTTGCTTACCTTGTGCCACAACTTGAACATTGGGCAACTTGCACTTCTGTAAACATGCCTCAAGCGCTTGCAGTATGACTTCCTGGGCCGCATTTATGGACATTGATGGCTTTGTCACGTGGGTTGCTACCTGGTTCATGGAATCTTCTGCCTCGCTTCTATGCATCCCACTTGCTTTGATGGGTTCAAACTGTGCTTGGGAAGCTGCCCACGATGCGGCAGCACAAATCGGTGCCAAATTGCCTAGACTTGAGGGTCCAAGCGCATGAGGCAAAAGCAGTGCCAGAAGCTCGCCATCCAAAGAATTTAGTGCGGAGAAGCTTTCAAGAGCACTCAGTGCCAGGCGAGGCTTCAATGTATCCAAGCAGTCGCTGAGGAGGATCCGTTTCACTTCGCCAACCAGCAAAGGGAGAGGATACTCTGCACGTGCAAAGGACTTGAGAGTGTCCACCGCCAGCGGTGCATCCATGATCCTCTCATCCTCGGGGCTCGCAAGAATCAGTGCAACAACATTTAGCATTCCATGGTGCACAACGTCCAAGGAAGAGTACACGTTTGCCAAACATACCAAATCAACCGTAGTGTAAGAAGATATTCGTTCAACCACAAACGTTGCGATCTTCCAAAGCAGTCGAAGTTGGCCTGATTGCCTCTCACCAACACATCTCGCGACCGCAAGCAGCTCTGCAGGTGTCATGGACATCGCCACCAATTCAGCTCGACGGCACAGCGCTTGCCAGTGCAGCTCGTCCACTTTTCGATTTCGTGCCGCCACGATTGCTTCTGCCAGCTGATAGTGATTCAGAGTGGGCACTGGCTGATAACTGCCATCTTCTCGCTGCCACATAGGCCCTTGGGGCCGACGTGGATCGTCCTTTCCAACAATCACTTCGGATGGACTTGCAGGTGTTCCGTCCAATCTCTTCCTTTGCCACTTCTCTTCCCAGTCCCATCCATCATCCCATTCAGCCTCCCAGGAGTCCCACCAACGCCCCGTCTCAACCTTAGGGGCCTTCTCAATCACTAAATCATCAATCATCTTTGACAGGTGCGTCTCCTTCCGATGCCACTTTAAGGTCTCCCGTGCCATCAAGGCATCCTGTTGGAAACTCTTCTCTTCTCCGCGTTCGCAGCGCCCATCAGGCCGCGCAGCGGGAAAACCCCGCAAGCCGCGGAGGTTCTGAAGGCTTCGCATGGGCTCCTCCTCATAGGGATCCGTGTCACGCGCGCGGCTCGGGCGGCCGCTCTTGCGCTGAACCGGCGGAAACCGCGTCGGACGTGTCCGTTCCGCTTGAGAAGCAAAGGCCCTGAGGGTCGAAAGGACATCGTGCAGGATGCCATGGGATCGGAGGAACCTCATGGCCCTCGACGGCAAATCCTCGACGTTTGAAGCAACGAGGAACACCTGGAAGTAAGGTGTTTTGCTGTGATCATGTGACAAAAAGGGGTCGAATGCCTACTCAAATGCTCAATTCGCAAAGTCATGATGTAGTTGTCAACGATTTTTTCCTTTTTATAAATCAAGCGAAATCAATGCAAACAAATACTGCTTGAGCCAATGGTAACACACTATGTTGATCTTGTTGAGTGCCAGAACCAAAGAGCATGACAAGCATGAAGTGACTTCGGTGTTTCTTTCAATCGTAGATTTTTTGCGGCCCAGGTCTGCTCAGTTGCAAAATTCCTTACCTCGTGCTTGGGAAGCCGCAAGAGGCCTTCGTTTTGCACTCGAAGGTGAGCCTGCAAGCCCAGTTCCTGCTCCAACATCTGCAGAACTGATGGACCCAAAGTGCTCTCTCCAGTTTTGGAATGTTGTCCAAGTCCCACAATGAAGTGCAAGCTTCCATCACTCTGCAAGCTGGAGTTCGAACTGGAGAATTCAGACGCAATCGTTGTGTCCAGTAAGACCATCCGCACCGCCATACGTGCAAGCTCTCCGCTTAAACCGTGCAGGTCCCAACCGTTCGCTGTTCTGCCTGGGAAAAGCCGGGTCCCAACCGTACTGCTCTCACCCTCCAACTGTCCAGCCTCCCGGTAGAAAGCCAAAGCTCCAGCAAGATTTCCAGTTGAAACCATGCTTTCGATGATTGCAGTCACACACATGATATCCGGCTTCAGCTGAAACCGACACATGTCTCGAAAAAGATTCGTTGCATGATGCCACTTCGAAGCTCGGCAGCAGGAGTCGATGGTCAACTCAAAACATACTGGGTCACGAAGCCCTTTTCCGAAACCATCTCCAAGCCTGCCGTTTTGGGAAATGTTCCGAGCGAGTGTCTTTTGATGGGCAAACTGAGTTTGCTTCACCCCCATACCAGAAATGAAGAATTGTCTTCAGTGCCAAACCCTCACATCATCTCAGACGTGTCAAACCAAGTCGTCCCTTCACCATCGCGGAGGAGAAGCATCATGCAATGTCTTTTGCTTGTTCTATTCAACATAGTGCAAGCAAAGTGCAATGTATATACATGGTCGCATACAGTACGATGTTTTCATCTATATATTCAAGTCAAGTTCCTTCGCTTTTCCTTTAAAGCTCAACGTGCATCACCGCGAGACGTCGATGTCGGTCGATGGGTCTCCCGACTCGGTCGTCGATGCGACAGCCGCCTCGGTTCGCTCGGGTCGCTCGGTTCGCTCGGACGCTTTTGGGAGGTCCAGCCGTCCAGCCAGCCCCTCTTTGGGATGTCCAGCCAGGGGAACTGGAACCGGAAAAGCACAAATGAATACAAATGATTGATCATGGTTTATATTACAGCTACGTATGAGTAGTCATGTCAACTCATACATGAGCGGCCCACGAGAGCTTCGCTACCCAGTGGTTGCAGGTGATGCCTGGCCTTCGCCGTAACTGCTGTGCTGATATGCATCCTTGAACAGGTCGAAGGCTTTTCTCCTCTGACATTCCCATTCTACCATCTCACAGATCCACTGGATGCTTGAGTTTTCTGATTTTTGCCCACGCTTTGCTGTTTCAATCTGAGGGGACAGCCTCAAGTTTGTGCAAAAAGGATCAAAAAGGTAGATGGTTACGCAGATCTGGAAGCATGCCAGGTAGAGAGTGATGGTGGATGTTGATGTTTGTGGGAAATCTGGTCATCTTGAACTATGCCCACCCTCGTCACCCTCGTGCGATCTTCAGAAACGCGGTTTCGACGCTCCTGCATTGGCTGCGCGGGTAGTGCCTTCGGAAAGGCTGTCTGAAGTAGTGCCTTCGTGCCGCTCACAATCCGAAGGCTGTCAGGTCAGTGTTCTCCAGAGATCGGATCTGTTCTTTTGAATCATCTTTCAGGTTCACCAAAAGCTGGAGCAGAAATCTACCAAGACCTGAGGGTAGGGGAACATAGATTGAAAACACAAATGCCTAACGCTTGATCAACTCCCAGTGCAAACAGAAATTGCTCGTCATGGTTGTTCGATCGAGCTTCCTGAGATACCGAAACAGGCAGTGACCCTTTGGAGATGTGTGTCTTTCAAAGACACCCTGACCCTGGCTGATTAGACTAATCTATTTCCAACCAGGGGGTTCTTGGGAGGTCTCCCAAGTTGAGCTACACTGCCACACACCCATTTTATGATGTGAATTGAAGTACAGTAGTTTTGCTATTGCGTATGTCAACTTGGGCTTCCAACTGCCACTTGAAGCCTTGAATGCAAGCCGCCATCGCCCGGGCACGGGCCCGGACCTCGGGGGATCAGGCCCGGACCTCACAGGGCGCCTATCGGGTGAACACTCGTTTGGAACGGGTCACGGGTGTTCTTGGGGTTCATTTCGAGGATGTACATCTATTGTACACCTCAATCCAAATCGGAGGGATCATTAGTCCAAATTCTACATTAGGGTGGTGGCAATATCATGCTGCCCAAAAAAACTCCAGTTCTCCAACCAAGCGCCGCCTCATTTGCTCTTATCACCTGCTACATGGTGTCCATCGACACAGCTGCGCACAAGGAGACGACAACCGGACACCGAATAAACACCAAACACCGTGGGGGGCTTGATTCATTGATCGGTCCAACTGCGGCATTGCCACCTTTGGATGCACTCGGTCCTGCCAACTGGATCAATCCCCCACAAGGACCGCCACACGGGCGAACGAGCCAGAAATGGAGCTGTTCTCCATCGAAAAAACCCGAGTTACACTCAGGGTCGATTCGGCAGATTGACAACTCAATCAGCAAAGTTTTCCCGACCTGGGCGGCGAAGAGCGGAGGGCCGAACGGAGGGCGGATCAACCGGGTGAAGCGAAACGCAAGTAGATCAACGCTCAAGCTTTGCTGGGGAATAGTCTTTCTTCCTCCAATGGTTCCTTAGGAGTTTTGGCCCGCTTGAATATTTGGGGTGTGTCTTACCAAAATGCTAAAAACATCGAAAAACCTGAAGTGCAAAAATCACTTCCCATCCAGTCTCATCAAGTCCAATCCTGCCAAACCAGCATTAACAAGCTGCAAATGTCCACGGCGCGCTGGGAGAACAGCTCCTTACGTCCAAGGCAGTCTGGCGGGAAAAAGACTTCGGAATCACCACCCACTTCAAACTGCGTGCGTGCCACTTCTCGTTCTTGCACCACTCATGCACGCACGGCCTCAAACAAGTGTGCTGAAAAAAAAAAGCGGTCACCGCTACGCACTGCGGTCCACGGTCACGGTCGCGGACCACGGTCACTGCCACTCCGTTCACTCCGTGAAACCGGTGGTTCCCCCGAAGGCTTCGCCTTTGGCCTTTCGCACGTTGCGGAAAAGGTGAACCGCACAGCCAAGCGTCTCTGATTTGCGCCCGATGTAGATCAGCTTGGAGGCCAGCCTCCACAACTTTGACCATCTTGTTAGTGAGTAAGTGCATCTTTCATTTCAGCAAAAGCAGCGAAATACAAACGCATTGACACATGCGCCAACCTCCAACTCTTGCAGTGCTCGTTCTTGCTCCTGGCATAGTTGGTCGATACACAAAAACCAAGAGATGAAAGCTCGACCTGTCGCAGCACCACCACCTGCACTTCTGCCACCATGGGGTAGAACATGGTAGAACTACCAGAAGCCAATTGTGTTGGTGGCCTATTCTGCCTCATGACATATGTCCAACCTGTACAGGCTCCTGCGCCGCTATACCCGGTGCATGTCTCAATGTTTGTAGCTGTGTTTGGACTGTCCAGTAGTATGATCTTGCTCTTGCTGGGGTCGTCAAAAATAGAACGTGGTCAAGGTCTCTAGCACTTCCAGGTAGACTTGGTGACTCAAAGATGAACAGGTTCCCTATAAAATGGACACACCAAGCTCAAGCACCAGTGGACCAGTCGACAGCTCCCGCCTGCAAGTTGCTGCCTACCTTTGCTTGGAGTGCCTGTACAGTGCGGTGCTATCCACGGCAAAATGGCGTTGAAAACAATTAGGTGCATGGATATACTGTCATTGAGAGAGAGAGAGAGAGTCATCTTTGAGCTTAGCCAAGTCTGTGACCAACCCCAGCCGTGAAAGCATGTTTGGCTAAAGCGGCGACTAAGCAGCAAGTAGAAACGCACTGATAGAAGCACCAACCTCCAACTCTTCCAGGGCTCGTTCTTGGCCCTGCCGCAGTTGGTTGATGGACCAAGCTATCACAAATGCAAAGCATCTTAACGTCGCCGCTATCCCGCATGTCCGCTTGCTTTCTCTCAGGTGCAAAAGCATTGTCTTCCTTTCAATAACTGCTTCCGATCAACCAAACACAAGAAAGCTCAACTGCCTGTACTACTCCCACTATGGATTAGAACTGTCAGAAGATGCCAGAAAAAGTAGAAACTGGACCCCTTGTCGAATAAAGTTGAACGAACACCTAGTCGACCGCTCCCAGCCTGCAAGTTGCTGCCTACCTTTGCTTGGAGTGCCTGTACAGTGGGGAAGAAGTCCATGGCAAAACGGCGTTCCAAACAGCAGAATGCTCATCTCATCGTAGGTCCATGCAATTGGCATCTTTGAAATCATCTCGCTAGTGAAAGCATGTTGGAGTTGAAGCAGCAAATAGAAACATACTGACAAAGGCACCAACCTCCAACTCTTCCAGGGCTCGTTCTTGCTCCTGGCACAGTTGGTTGATACAAAACCAACACTCTAGATGAAAACTCAACTCCGAGCACCACTACCTCCACTGCTGCCACTGTGGCTGTGAACATCTTAGAACTACCAGTGGGGTGCTGGTCTATTCAATCCTTCCTGACAACATTGTCTCTTAAGTCATCGAGAAACATCTTACCCACAACTGGTGCAGGGTCAAAATGTTCGTCTATGCACCCGGCACAGTAGTAGTATCTTTTTCTTGCTGGGGTCGTCCAAAATAGAACGTTGTCAAGGCCTCTTGGGTCTCTGGTGCTCCCAGTCGCACTCAAAGATGAACAGGTTCCCTAATAAATGGACACACCAAGCTCAAGCACCAGTCGACAGCTCCCAGCCTGCAAGTTGCTGCCTACCTTTGCTTGGAGTGCCTGTACAGTGGGAAGAAGTCCATGGCAAAACGGCGTTCCAAACAGCTTCTGATCATCCCATCATAGGTCCATAAGTTGTAAAAAGAAGGTAGAACCAACTCATCAACGGTTGATACAATTTGAGGTGTCAGACCCTCTCCTCTACTTGAGGATATCTGTAGTCTAGTGATGTTCAGCACATGTTCCACCAGGACCCACGCGGCGACGAAGGAACACCCCTCAACCTCCAGTGCATGAATTTGAAAGAGAGAGAGAGAGAGATGTGTTTGTGTGTGTTGTATATATATATATATGTATATGTGTGTGTATACCCTAATGTGTCTGGATCATAAACAGTGAAGAACCATCAAGAAACATGGAACATCTCCGGAATTTCCCTCCGCTTTCGCAGGGAAAGCAGCCCTTCACGTGGGGCGGCATCAGCCGCCGCGGCGTCACGGCTTTCCGGGACCGAGATCGGATCCTGCCTGGACATCTTGGACGCCAGCACTCCTTAGGTGCCGAGACGAGGATCGGCAGGATTCGATCGACGATGCATAACTGTTGACATGTTAAAGAAACACATGACCCCTACCTTAGACCCCCCCTACGTCCACATACCTAGGAATAATTAGTAATTAGTCCACTAGCCTTGGACATACATTATGTTAAAGAAAACACTAGTAGCAATGGCCTCCAACCTACTAGCAATGGCCTCCAAGCTACTAGCGATGGCCTCCAACCGAATTGTTCCATCTTGTTCAATCATCGTTCATCTCCATGTTCCCACCATGTTCCCATTGCGTTGTTCAGTGTTGTTCAGTACATGGGTCCGAATTGGACCACAGATGGTCTGTGGATGCCCCCTGTCTGGTCTGACCGGTCGCACGGCCGAAAAACCCAGGGTAGACGTAGAGGCGCCGCTCTGCGCCTCTAAAGCATCGTTCTTTTCGCTATACTGTACAGTACTGTAACTAAGTTTACTCGAGGTGTGAAGAGATGATTGCATGACGTAGTTGGCGGTTTTTGAAGGGAGTGATGAAATCCGAACGAAAAAGCTGACTGCATAGGAAATGCCTGCTGACATCTGCTGACTCGGTTTGCATAGCTCTTTCTACCAACTGACTACCCACCCGCCTTTCACAGCCTCACAAACTGCCCACTCTCCCAGTTGTCTTCCTAAGCTTTGGACAGGTCAACAGCTTTGGCACCGCCCACCTGCGCGATCTCCGTGTCTCCTCCCCAAAAAAGAAAGACCTGTGTTGTCCGCCGACTCCCGCGCCGACTCCCGCGTCGTCTCGTCGTCGCTCGTCCACGACCTGAGGATGGGCCGCAGAGCGAAGGGACCTGAACGACCAGAGGCACCCGAGATCCGACGTCCGACGTCCGTTCTGTTCTTCGGTCGGTCCTGGGATTCCCAGCTCTGGGAAGTGTGCTGTGAAAGGATGGGTCCTTTGGATAAAGAAAGAGACCATTCAGTTGGATTGGCCAACTCTTTCAGCTACCTGTCAGAGGGTGCCCCTGTTCAGGTGTTCAGCGAAGAAGAATGTCGCGCCCCCCAGTCTCTCTCGAAAATGATGGCACGACGTACAGTGCTTCTGGTGTATCACTGGGGGCCAAGCAATGGCTCCCCGGAACTGGGGCTGTCCTGCAGACCATGGTCACCATGCATGAAATCAGCTGCGCACAAATCGACGGATGCGAGCAAGCTTCAAGATCTTTCAAGTGTTTGTTTCCCGGACATTCACATGATAGAATAATTAGCACATTATTCTGTACGGCAGCGGAATGCTGTAGGTCAGGACTCCGCGCACCCAGTGAAGAAAATCCAGAAGAGTCTTGCTTTGGGTCTGTTGTTGCTTTGACTCATGTTCATGAGAATTCCTTAACAACGTCAGCTAGCCTCCTTCTCAGTCAACTGGGCTGAGTCTGAGTGTTGATCCTGTACCTCAAACACGACTTCAGGCAATGATGTATTTCCTCAAATCATGGAATCATGGATTGTTGATAGGATAGAAGTTAAGTCCAAGACACTTAGGGTGTACTGGAAGAAAATGCCAGGGTTTGCATGAAACTGCCTGCTTCGAAGCTGCCATCCTGACCTCTGTTTCATCCTCTTGTCTCGTCTGAGTTCCTCGCAGAATCCTGCGAACTCGCTGCGTCTTTCCGCCGCCAAGGTACCAAGTACCAAGCAGCCGCACCGGCCACGACCTCGCCGTTGGTGCCGGTCGAGCGCCGCGGAAGACCCC